AATATTAATTCAGTGGATGAAAGGGTATGTGTGTGTGTCTTTGACACCTGGTCAAAACATACCTTCTTTTGACAATCTTCCTTAGCCTAAATAAGCTTGTTAGAAAATGTTTTTCTTACTGTGTGTGCTATATAGCATAGAAATGAACCTTTCAGAGTGTTGTTAGAGATAATTATTATCTAAATGTTCATTAATTAAATGCTAATGTACTTAACATGATTCCTGAGGGGTTGAGTTATTTAATACTAGTTATATCATTTGTATCTATATTTATTGTAAGCTACCTAATATTCTGAAAACAATTGACTAATATGCCTCAGTGTATTTTTCAACTCTTTGAAAAATTTTAGTTTTGAGCTAGAATTTTCCATACTTAGCTTTGAAATAAGAAGCAAATTAATTTTGGAAAGGCTTAGGGAAAAACTGTTCAAATGGTTAAAACTAGGAAAGAGAAAAAGAAATTACTTTTAACTAGTTGAAAGTCAATTTCAATAACTTACACATGGTTGAACTTTAAAAGTCAGAATTTTCCATTATCTATGTTTTACAAAATAAGTCCCTCATGCGGTATTTACAAAATAAACCTGTTGTAATAGTTTTTAGTACAGTTAATTGAGGGATACCACAAATAGATGACATTATTTATTTCAGTAAAATATTTTTCCTCAACAGCTTCTGAATTTTTCTTTTGACATTAAGAATTACCCTTGACCTTGTTTTTAAAGTTTTAATGATTCTTACAGTCTAGTTTAGAACACTGACACATGCATTTACTATATTTTGAATTTAATTAAAATTTTAGGTATATTGGCCATTTTCATAGTTGCTTTATTTGTGTTTACTTAGTAACCTGGAACAAATTTCAATTAAAGTCAATATTTTAGGACTAAAAAATTGGTTTTAAGATAAACATGCTTCAAGTGATGTATGTTTATATGTAGAATGGAGATGTGTACTATGCGGGATGCCTTAAACACAAACTTTTGGAAATTAGATATCCTGTTTATGATTACACATTTCTATCTTGGAAACTATATATGATAATAGATATATAATAGCTAGAATAGTCTTTTTAATTCCCGCTGCCAGTCTTTTATTTTCTCTTATTCACTTAAACTCAAAAACATTTATATGTAGCTGTATGTGGCAAACATTTTTTTAAAGTTTTTATTGATTTTTAGATAGGAGGAAGGAAGAGGAATAGAGAGATGGAAACATTGATGAAAGTGAAACATAGATTGGCTGTCTCCTTAACACCTTCCTATTGGAGATTGAGCCTCTAACCCGGACTTGTGCCCTGACCGGAATTGAATCAGGGACCTCCTGGTTTATGTGTGGACTCTCAACAACTAGGGCACACCGGCCAGACCAGCAAACATTTTGTATTGGTTTTCTAGGGCTTCCATAACAATATATCACAAACTGGATGGCTTAAACCACAGAATTTGTTTTCTCACAGTTTTGGAGGCTAAAGACTTCATTCGGAGGCCTCTTTCCTTGCCTTATAGATGGTGGTCTTTCCCTCTGTCTTCACATGGTTGTCCCTCTGTCTGTGTTATTTGTGTCCTAATCTCTCTTCTTATAAAGAAAGAATTCTATTTGAATCAGAGTCCACCCAGAAGACTTCATTTTACCCCACTTACCTTTGAAAGACCTTATCTCCAAATATAGTAACATTCTGAGATGCTGAGGGTTAGGACTTTAAGATATAAAATTTGAGAGGGGAAAAAATTCAGCCCATAACATATGTGTAAAATTATGTAACTCATATAAATATTTCATATACATGCATACATAGATACATTTATATGTATATGTATACCATATGGCATGTGCATAAATATACACACCCACACAATTCACCTGTGAACAGGGTGGGGATTAGGGCTCCTGACCCCAGGCAGTTGAAAATTCTTATATAACTTTTGACTCCCCAAAACCTTAATTTACCTTGGTATCCATGAAGGATTGGTTTCAGGATGCCTAGTGGATACCAAAATCCACAGATACTCAAGTCTACTATATAAAATGGCATAGATCAATGTATATAATCAGCCCTTTGCATCTACTGACTCCCAAACAGGTATTTACTGAAAAAATTCACAGGCAAGTGGACCTGCACAGTTTAAACCCAAGTTGTTCAAGGGTCTATATATATATATAATCTCCAAAGGAATGGTAATTATATTAATTTTATTAAGTATACATTAATGAACTTAGGAAATGAAGAAAGATAAGATTCTAATATATGCATTTTTTAACGTTATGGAATAGTCCAGATTTTAACCAAAATGAGTCTCAAATGTACTAATGTATAACACTTAATTTGTTATTCACAATTAGATGCTAGTAATTTGCAAGTGCTCAAAACAACTATGCAGATGTTTGATATCAATCCAAATTGACGAGTAAGTCTTTATCCCTGGGTTCCAGGATCATGTATAAGACCTCCTACTACCTAAGTTCTTTAATGATACTTGTTAAAACTTCATTTCATATCAATTGCTGTTTCATATCCAGACACTCTCAAGTCTGAAGTATGTAAAGTTTCCCAACTCCCTGCCTTCAATCTCTTTCCCTCTATTCTATCACCTATCACATAATCTGTTTTTCTCTCTATTCCTTCAGCATGTCCTAGTCAAAGTTAGACACATTTCACCTTACCTAAAACATCTCTCCTCCCTTCCAACTGCACATTTTTGAAGGCCAAGCTCACCATTATTTTTACCTTTACTCTGTAAAGAGAAAAGTTTTCCCTTAACTCCTATATGCTCACTGATTGTCACCACTGATCAAATAAACACTTAATTAGAAAAGATAGCTGTGTTTTAGAGACCAAGTTTTATTGTGTTGTGTTTTGTTGTTTGTTGTCTCCCACAGTGCCAAGCAAATGTCTGGTCACATGGTAGATGTTATAAGTGCTTATTAATTGATTAATTCATAAGAGGAAAAGTAAATTAAATAAAATGAATTATCACTGTGAAGAGCACCAAAGTCTCTATACTTCTGCTATAGTTAATTTTAAGATTATATTCATTAAATGGAAATTATAAATGCATTATATTTTCAGTACTTAAATTGTCAAAACTAATAGCTGTATTATAATGTTTATTTTTAGGTTTGTATAAATACAAATTCAGCATTTAAACATCTAAACTTCCCTTTACTTGATAAAATGTTATGTTTTCTAGATTAAATATTAAAAATATCAAATGTAAGTAAATTCCTATTATGTAACAGTCATAATATTTTATACTGATTTCTATATTTATCTTTTTATTTTGAATTATCATTGCTCCCATTAAACTCTTACATTTGGGAAGTCCAGATCAGCAGAGGTAGATTCAAATATTGGTATTTTGAAGCCTGAAACATATATTTTGGGGGCCTCTTTAAGAATAAAAATATCTACACCCATACATAAGTGAAAATTGTATGTTCACTTATTAAAAGAAATTCCAACAAAGTAGAAACTTATGGAAGCTGACAAATATAAAAACATATGACCCTATGCATACACTGCTGGGGGACCTCCCCAGAATCCCAAAGCGTAAGCCTCATTAAATTCTCAGAATCCCAAAGAGTAGGCTTTATTAAATTCCCAGTTAATACACCTGTGCATATTAGTATTCTTTAGAGCTCTATTTCTAGTGTCAAGAGCAGTGCTCAACAACAGAGCAAGTACTAAATAAATATTTTTGAATGAATATATTAACTGAGTTATTGTCAGGTATGGTTTTCATACATTTGACATTCAATAAGTTTTTCACAAATTGGATTTTCAATACATGTCTTATATATTAGAAAATTGTTTTATAGTTATTTTAAATTAGTTGCTGTGTTCATATTCAAATAATAATAATGTACATATCTGTTTGCATACATTTGGGGTCTATGCAAAATGTCTATTGCTCCTCTTTGCAAAGTGGAAAAAAGTTTTGTATCAAAAATATACATTACAGTCCTCCTTATGTGTATATATATATATATGTACATGTGTGTGTCTATATCTTTATAGATTATATATATTAAAACTTTAAGGTTAATTTTTAATTACTAAGATTTACTTTTTTATATGTTCTCACAAATAGAAACCTTTGGGAAGAAACTATTTTCTGTTTTCTTTTTATTTTTATAAACATTTGTCTGTGGAATAATAAAGGTACCAATATTTTATGTAACTTAAAAAGTACATTAGGCCTGACTGAGCGTTGACCTAGGAACCAAGAGGTCACCAGTTCAATTTCTGGTCAGGGCACATGCCAGAGTTCCTGACTTGATCCCAGTAGAGGTGTGCAGGAGGCAGCTAATTGATGTTTCCCTCTCATCGATGTGTCCATCTCTCTCTCTCTAAAATATATATATATATATATATATATATATATATATATATATATATGTGTGTGTGTGTGTGTGTGTGTGTGTGTGTGTGTGTGTGTGCGTGTGTGTTTAAAGTGCATTAAATGTTTTCTTTATTATGAATGTGCCAACAAGACATTATTAAAGTGGTTACTTGAATCATAGATTCAAAAGATAAGCTACTTGCCTTAAAACTTTAGAGTTTAGTTTGTTAAAACAGAATTAAGTTAGTTAAGTTCCTTTTATAATAATGTTTTATAATAACATTTTAAATTTGTTGAAGAGTTGGTGCTCATATCAAGATTGTCAAGTGTGTGTGTGTGTGTGTGTGTGTGTGTGTGTGTGTGTGTGTTATAAAGTGCAACCCTCTGATCAATGCACACTTTTTCCTCCCATTTTTCTAAATACATCATGAAAAAAGGATGAGGTTTCCGCCTTAATTGCTTGTGCCTTTTATTCACATTCCTCTCTCAGCCAGATTTGTGAAAAGAGAGTTAGTAAAAGGCTGCACAATAGAGCTTTTCATTAGGCCTCAGCAAGGCACACAAAAGAAGGCTTTTGGAAAGAGTGAATGCATGAGTTTAATTTGCAGGTGGAGAGTAGATAAAAGGTGCTGACGCCTCTATTATTCTCTTACTTAGGTGACCCTTACCCTGTTCAGCTGATCCCAACTACCATGGCAGCTGCTGCCGCAGCAACACCAGGCTTAGGCCCACTCCAACTGCAGGTAAGTCAGGAAACAATATGGCAGAGACAAAGGTTAAATAAATACCGAAAACAGCTATTATCCTGTTAAAGCAAAATAAAACTGACTAGTGATATTTGTCTCACACTTTTTTGTTTTTAAATTTCTTTGTGCTGATCCTCAACCAAAAGTTGAGATGTTTCTTTTATGTCTTAGCCCTGTTTTAGGTACTAAAGATCACTTATTGTAATTTTTTATTGGCTGGTATGATTTAACAAAATGAGCTGTAGTCTTGCTTTGATTACCATGTGCCATAATTTTGTCACAGAATGATCCTCATCAAGACTCAAAGAACAGAAAACCTACAAAAAGTATTTAAACAGGTACTTATGGAGCAAGGCAACTTAACAAAAACTACATTTAAAAATGTTCAAGATGCCCAGTATTATTAAAGTACTCTATATGTCTCTTTGTTATCCTGCTAATGCCAGCTCAGCTGGGGAAGTGAGGCGAAGTAGACCAAATAAGCAGGTGCCTAAATGAGCACAACTTTATCCAGACATTCCAGTTAAGACCTTTTATACATATTCTTCTATATCCAAGAATGTCAATGATAGCTTGAGTAGATGACCAAGTAATTTTAGAAATTTAGTCTCTAGGTTTGAAAAGAATATCAATAAAAATGTATTAAAGAGATCTTTTATTAACTATTTAAATCTTTGCATCAGCATCCTGCATAATCTTTCCTAGTTTCTGTTGTTATGGACTTGATAGTAACGGAATTAATAGGAATATCAGATCAGCTGATGATAGGATTAGCCACCCCTTTTAAGAAGCATTATATTTTTCTTCGCCCAAAAGACACAGTAAACCTGTGAAGCCAGATATAAAGCACCGGTGCTTCATAAAATTAAATCATATTCATGAAATCATTGTCATGATAGATGATCTTAGTCAATAAGGAGAACAATAGTTTTATATTGCAGCATCAAGAGACAGATACATATGGTCAACCAAGGGGATTGTCAGAAGAGCTGGTGGGTTTCTGAAAACCCAGTTGAACCACACAGGGGGAGTTGAGGCACATTATGTTCCACAGAGGTTAATAATAGTCAATCCTATTTTACCTGTTCTGCAAAAATCTAGAGTGTGAGTGTCTATTTCTTTGAGCTGGAAATACCTTGGGAATTGTTGGAGCCATGGGGACAATAAAAGTAACATGACATTTCTTATGCTTTGAAATGGCATCTGTGAAATATCTACAATATAGAAAAGTGGTTGTAATAGGTAAAACTAAAAAGAGTAGTGGAATTAAAGGAAGAGGGGAGATCATCCAGCAATAGGTTTGAATGTGAAAAAAAAAATGAGTTTTAGAGATTTAGAATGCCTGCTTTCAAAGGATGTTAGATGTTCTCTTTTCCTTTCACCATTGGGTTAGCAGTAAACGGCAGCAAGGGCAAGATGGAGGCTTCCCCTACGTTTCATTGCAGGATTCTTGCAGAGTAGCTTCGTTAGACAAACATCCAAACCTCTTTTCCTATGGAGATAGTATTATAATATTTGACACACATTTTCATTTCCATCCTTATAGCAACACATTCCCTTACAATTTAAAGATATAGTGCTGGGGTCCAGCACCAGAAGGTCCAGGGGTCCCCAAAGGTGTGGACAGAGTCGGCGAAGAAGGAAGGACACGGAGACAGTGTAAAGTTGATCAGCAGCCTAGCCAGGATCTCCAGCCAAGTTCTGGTCTGGATCTCCAGAGAGGTTCTGCTCTGGATCTCCAGCGAAGTTCTGGTTAGGATCTCCAGCCAGGTTCTGTGTCCATGTTCTCTTGCTAGGTTCCCAGGTTCTCCAGCCAGGTTCTGTAGCCATGTTCCCTCGCTAGGTTCTGTCTCTAGGTTCTGAGGCCAGTTTCTGTCCAGGATCTTTTGCCATGTTCTCTCCAGCGAAGTTCTTCTATCTCTAGAGAACGTTCTGTGTAGGTTCTGTCTTCTTAGTTCTGTGTTCTAAGTTCTGTGTCTTGCTGTCTTATTACATCTGTATTTATACCAGTTGATTCAATCCTATCAATCTCTATTACAAAGGTTAGGGCGTTTCTTATCTCCATTCCAGGGAGTAAAGATTATGTAGCTTAAGCATGATTGTTCATAGTTAAAGTGATTAATTACCCACCTGGCACTTAGTTAAGGGATTTTATTCCCTCCCTAACTTCAGGGGAAAATCCCTACCTGGGGAAACAACCTTTCTCAGAGACCTTGGTTAAAACACATAGTGCCAAGAAGGTGAGCAAACATATTAAGAACAGTATGCCATATATGCCAGGTCCCTTGAAACAGCAAGCATGGACCGGCTCCCGGCAATATAGGTTGTTTTTCTTTATCAGAAAACAAGAAAAAGGACACCAAACATGCTCACTTTTGCTTTAACTATAATTTGATCTATAAACAGGAGAAGAATCCTTTATATAAGTGGCATTGTACCCATATGAGTTTTAATTAGGATATCAGTAAATCATCAGTGGTATAACAAGAAAATTAATAATCTAAAACTCTGTCACAGTAAGCTATTAGCTACTATTAAAACACACACACATACACATGTTGGCTCGTGATTAAAAAATGAAATTCAAATGCAGACACATCCCAAACTTATGTCATGGCTAATGGTCTGGCTTTTCTTTAAAGCGGAGTGACTCTTACCTTTGCTGGGAGTCTTACATCAGTTTACTCCCTACTTATATTCCTGACACTGTACTCACAGGTCCCTGATCTTGACTTCAGCTTTCACCAGAGGTACAAAGTGGACTGTAATACTTCCCCTCTCCTGCTTTAAAATAAAATCCACGTTCTTCTCCACAAACCTGCCCAGATGGATCAGAGAAAAGCTAACCTCCATGCCTAGTCAGAAGTCCTATCTAATCCTTATCCAACATTGACCCCAACCTTGGGAAACCGTTTCCAAGAGGTTTCATCTCAGTGGGGTATAATGTATGAGGCAGTTTTAATTTTCTCCAAACTCTGCTTTTAATTATACTTGGTTAAATCTCCATTTCTCATCCCTTAATATGCCTTGAGTACCCTCCGTCACGTTCGAGTCCCTTTCAGTTACTAAGATTCTTTTTCAGTTATTAAGAAATAATTTTTAGCTAATAACAGGTAGTTTAATTTAAAACATGTCATTTGGCTCTACTTTTAAAATAATTGTTCTTATCTCTATTGTTTTTTTAAATAAAAGTTTTGTTTATGGGTTTTACTTAACATAATATTACCCAAGCATTTCTAGATTCTTGTGCTAGATTTTATGCTAAGGATTTCACAAGTATTATTTTCATTTCATTCGTATTATATACTACTTTGTGTTGTGTATTAATGACTCCATTTGACAATGAAGAAAACTTTGGGTCACAGGGTCCAAAATCCATGAGTTTTAAATAATTATATTTGCTTCTCCAAATACAGGTGATATTATTTGATACTTTGGAAGCACTGCTCCTCTTAGGACTTTTGCTAACACAGTAACCTGCTAATCAAATTATAACAATGATGCTGATTAATTGGCACTAATACAAATGCTCTTTATGAATTGTAATACTGAATAAAGTAGCAGGATTCATGATGACAGCTATCTACATTGATTTTTGCATTTTTCATTTCATACCTCTTTATTCAGATTACAAGGTGTCCCAAAAATGTATACACACTTTGAATAATTATAAAGGCAGTGTTTCTTAAAACATGTTTCATTTTCAAAAATGTAATGAAATATACAGATATAGTATGCATACATTTTTTGGGACACCCTGTACTTTTGTGTGTCAATTCAAGACTCTCTTTTATTAACATCTAGATCTAAGAAGGGACACTATAAATATATTCACGCTCATGGTTGACTTTCTTTACCTACCATTTGTATTTCCCCTTGAAATCATCTTTTGCATAGCATTTATTGTTCATGCTTGGGTATTATTATGTTAAGTAAAACCCATAAACAAAACCTTTATTTAAAAAACAATAAAGATAAGAACAATTATTTTAAAAGTAGAGCAAAATGACATGTTTTAAATTAAACCACCTGTTATTAGCTAAAAATTATTTCTTGTTCTTAGATATAATAATGAAATATTTACCATGCAATAAAAATACTTTACATTTAAATATCACCTTTCTGTGTACTTTTAGGTACAGTTAAAATAGTCTAAGCATTGCCTTATATTTATTTTTATAGAAAAAATGACTTATTTAGATTATGTTTATAACACATACAAATCAACATTTTACCAAGGCACCCTTGTATTTATTTCTTTTATAGTGAATATCTGTCTTTGTCTCTTCTGCCTCTTAAGTCTTTCCTGAGCTTCAGATACATATGGCCAACTATTTATTGGCTATTAGTTTGCTATTCAGAGGAAAGATATAGATGTTTTCAAACACCAGAAACAGAACAAAATAAAACTCACCAATTTTTTTCCTTGCTCCCAACCACTCATTCTCTGGTCTTGGCATATAGCTCAATTCCATCCATTGCTTAACCCAGGAACAAGAGAGCTATACTTAACCCCTCTTCCTCTGAACCTATTCATTCTTTCCAAATACTAAATACATCAAGAATCCATCTTTTTTTTCCTTTGTTATTTTCCTTTGTAATTGTCACACTTCTTGGTCCCAATACCCTACTTTGCTTGCCTAATTTACTGCCATAGCCCCTAAACTGGTCTTTCTGTCTCCATCTTCCTTCCTTCAATGTACTCTTTATTATACATTAGTCAAAATGATCCTTTTGATTTTAGAAAATCTGATCCCATCCTCCCCTTACTTAAAGACTTTAAATGACTCCCTGGTGTTATTACATCCTCTCTCCACTCTCCTCTCTGTGGAGCTTCCTCTTCCTGGAGCTTTAGCAATATTTTTTTACCAAACTCTCTCACTTATCCCTGAGGTTACAAATTAAAACATCATTTTGCCCTGACCGGTGCAGCTCAGTTGGTTGAGCATTGTCCTGTGCACCAACAGGTTACTGGTTTGATTCCTGGTCAGGGCACA